AGACGTGTGCTCTTCCGATCTCCCCAAAACCCCAAAACCCCTTGAAACTAAAATTTAAACATAATAACAGAGTACCAGGAATAGTATTATTTGCAAATTAAGATTAAAATATTTATATAAAATGACCTCGCTTACTAAAGCAAAAGCGAGCCTATTAAATTAAACAAACAAGCAAAATATAAGGATATATTAGAGAGCAACTCGATTTTTACTCACATCATGGCTTTAAGCGAGTCAATGATTCCCTCGGCAGTCTCTTGAGTCTCAGCCGGAGCAAGATTAATGGCTCTGAGCTCCTCCATGAGTTTGTCGTGAGCGGACATAGGTTTATATTTTCTTCTTGCTTCTTCAATGTCGACAAGACTCTTCATCTCATCCATTGGGCTGATGTCGACATTATATCTCAAATGGCCAAACAAAGTGGAGCTTACTCTCCATAATCTTCTTGAAGGATCTAATTAAGCCTTCTCCTTTGCTTCCTTTGTGGCTTCAGTGTACATAACTTCGTGGAAGCCAGCTAATACGTATCCTCCAGTGATATGTTCAAACATTGAACCACCTTGTAAAAGCAAGCAACCTGGAGGAATCTTAACTGCGATTTTTTGCATATTACGAAGCCAGATAAAGAGCCCAGGGTATCTAGACTTTCCGTGGATGGTCAAGAAGTTTAGGTCATAGTGAAAGCCAGCAAATGTAGTTCCAACATCGTATCTTTCTAGATCTGAGCCTGTAGGTGCTAGAAGATGTGGACCTCCGGTCATTCTGCTTGTGAATGTCTAACTATCAAGTCCCATTCCAATAGCAGCCATTTCTGCGGCAGTGAAAGTAGCATCAATCATCATGTTACCCCATTTGTTCATCTTCTTTTCCCACTCTGGGATTCCTTCAGGTATAACTCTAGGGATATTGTCTGCAACCTCAGCAGGTCTCTCACCTATGGCCCAGAAGAAGCGCCACTTGGCGTCGAGATCAGGTGGAAACTTAGAGAGAGGGTAATTTTCTGGGGTCAATTAATCGAGGACATGCTGATGGTTTCTGGCTCTTTCCTGCTTTTCTGGTGTGACTCCAGCCTAGAAGTTGAACTCTGGTTTGCAATCATTAAGTTTCTCACCAGAGTAAAATTTTCTTGCGTTAGACTCAAAGTATTCTTCCATTAAATCGATATAGTCTTCATTATCTTCCTCTTTAACACGGGGATCTCTCCAGATTAGTATTCCGAATTGATGAAGTGACTAAGCTACTAGTTTGCATTGGTTCTCCCATTCTGCGGGGTCTTTTTCTAAGAAGGCGCGAACGTTAATTACAGGTACTTCGATAAGGCTTTCCATTCGATCTTTTCAAACAATGATTACTAAATACTCTTAATATTAAATATTATATATTGAAGGTAACCTTTAAATGATAGCGAATAATACTTGTTTTTATATATTACTTACGTAATCACATATTAAAATTTATTAAGCTTCAATCATCAATAATTTTAAACTTCTCCTTCGGGGTTTTGGGGTTTTGGGGTTTTGGGG